CCATTTCAATATTATAATTGTTTACAATCAACAATTATGTCAATGCAACAACTTTGTACCGTTCAGTGAATATAAACAAATTAGGCTGTACTGTGTGTATGTAAACTTTCTTGATGCGTTTTTTGGAGTTTTCGGGATTAAGATAATGCATCACAATGCACGAATGTTTATTTATCTATTTAGCAAAAAAAAATCAGTCGAATCAGACTAGAAAATGTATGTGSGAACATGTTTTAGTTAAGAATAAAGGGTGTATGTAAACTTTATTGGTCCACTGTATATGGAAAAGTGTTCACATATTCAATTTTAATTTGAAAATAGTTTTTTTTTATAGTTTTTTTTATAGTTCATAAAGAAAAAAGAAACACTCGAAAGTACAAACAAAGAAAACGCTGTGAAAAGCTGAAAAATACTTCACTATTGCTTTTTAAGGTGTGGCAAAGCTGGTTTTCCTCGTAAATATAAAAACTCTAAACTTTTCAACCATAAATTTGATAAGTGATTTTTAAATTACTAAATTTAGCTCAAAAATTACAAAATAAATGTGAAATGTGAAGTTATTTCAATGCTTAGAGCGTATACTTAAATATACAGAGTAAAAGACGTGAAAAATTTTAGTGAAACATATGTGTTCTTAGTGCAAATTTTTGAACTTTTAAACGTGAATATTTAAAAAAATATTAGTTATTATACCCTGAACAGGGTATATTAAGTTTGTCACGATGTTTGTAACATCCAGAAGGAAGCGTCGGAGACCCTATAAAGTATATATATGAATGATCAGTATGTTGAACTGAGTCAATTTACTCATGTCCGTCCGTGCGTCCGTCCGTCTGTATATATACGAACTAGTCCCTCAGTTTTTAAGTTATCCTTTTGAAATTTGCAAACGTCATTTTCCCTTCGAGAAGCTGCTCATTTGTCGAAGCGGCCAATATCGGACTACTATAACATATAGCTGCTATATAAACTGAACGATCGGAATCAAGTTCTTGTATGGAAAACTTTCACATTTAAATATGTATCTTCACCAAATTTGGTGTAGACGATTTTCTAAGGCAACAATGTAGTTTCCGAGACATTGTTCAGATCGGTTAACTATAGCATATAGCTACCATACAAACTGAGCGATCGGAGTAAAGGGCAAACTTTCGCATTTGACGTGGTATCTTTACGAAATTTGACATGGATTACTGCTTACGGTAATTACATAATATCCGAAAAAAATTTGTAAGATACAATACAATAGTTGAAGAAATTTTGAAGGTCAGACAACAAAACCTGCCATACAAACAGAAAAATTAAAATCAAGTTCATATATGGGCAACTTTGGCTAAATATCATTACAAAATTTGACATGAATTACTTTTTTCATTAAATAGCAAATCAATTTTATCCGCAATGTAATATAGNTGGCTTCCAGACAGAATGTCGTCTACATACGTTTGTGTTTTCAACACTTGTGTTGCCAGAGGAAATTCTGACTTTGTGTCTTCTGCCGCTTCGTGGAGTGTACGAATGGCGAAGTATGGGGCACAGTTTACGCCAAAGGTAACTGTATTTAATTTAAAGTCGCGCAGTGGACTATTGGGAGATTTTCGGAAAATAATTCGCTGAAATCTTGATCACCTTTACGTACGACTATTTATCGATGCATTTTCTTCAGGTCCCCATTGAAAACGCATTTGTATATACGCCAATTTAGTATGAGGAGCATTAAACCTGKCTGAAGCGTGGGTAYCKTAAATAAAACGTCATTTAGGGAATTCCCCGAACTTGAGGATTTTGATGCATTGAAGAAAACTCTTACCTTCGTGGTTCTTTTATCTGGCTTTATTACTGCATTATGTGGCAGGTAAAATGAATAGTATTTACCTTTTATAATTTTTTCCCCAGGGCTGACTTCCTCCATGTGGTCTAAATGGAGGTATTCTTCTAAAACCCTATCGTATTCTGGTTTTAGCTCGCCTTTTTTAAGTAGGTTTTTTTCCATACTTAAAAACTGTTGGATAGCAGAGGTACGAGAGTGGCCTAAGGCGAGTGTGTTGGAAATTCTGGTTTTAGTGGTAGTCGTACGACGTACCGGCCATTATCTAATCGAGTAGTTGTGGATTTGTAAAAATCCTCACAGTATCGATCTTCTGGTGTTGTGATTGATATGGGGGGAAGTTCTACTAACTCCCAAAATTTCTTCAGTTGAGTATAGAGGTACTCATTTGAGATTTGCTCAACTTGAGTTGTCATTGTTGTGACTGGTGCCGCAACTAGTCCGCTTAGGACCCATCCGAAAATGGTATTTTGCGCCAGAAGTGTTTTTGTAATTTTCTCAACATCTTCGAGAATAATTTGTGGTATGAGATCGCTACCTAATAGAATGTCTATTTGAGCGGGAGTGTTGGAGTTCAGGTCTGCTAACTTAAGATAAGATACCTTTTGAAAATGCTTGCTATTTATATGATAGCTTGGAAGCATGTTTGTTAGTTACGGTAAGACAATAGCTTCTGCTTGTATTCTTATATCCGCTTGGGGGGAAAATAGGGTAATGGGGCAAATTTTGTTTGAATTTTGTACTACTCTTCCGCCCATCTCCGTAATTTTAAAATTAGCCCCTTTTGTTGGCAGTTGTAGCCTACTTTGTGCCGTAGACGCTATAAATGATCGTTGAGATCCTTGGTCTATTAAGGCCCTCAGTTTAAACAGTTCTCCTCGGTGCTCGATTTGAGCTTATGCCCTCCTTTACACAGTTCGCATGACGTATGTTTATTTTTTCGGATGTGACCGCTTGTGTTTTGAAAAAAACTACGATTTAAGTTGTTGTTGTTGCTCGCTTGGGGTCTGATGAAGCTTCGATTTAGGTCGGGTTGAACGGGTTTAGTTCTGACCATTTTTTTATCTACCCTTTCCGCAATTTCGTATTGGGTAGTTAAGAAATCGTTCATTTGTTGCCACGTTGGGCACTTTCTTCGTGATGAGAGCGATTGCTCCCATAGAAGTAACGACTTTTCTGGTAATGCGTCGGTGCAAATGTTTACCAGAATTGGATCCCAATTGACTGTGGGAATTGGAATTTTATAAATTCTTCACTTGTTTCTTTCAGAATTTTTGGTAAATTCATTAATATTGTGACTTGTTTGTCGACTAATATTCTTTCGTTCTCGTAACGAGCTTTTAGAGCTTCCCAAGCGTAATTGAAATTTTCGTCATTGAGAGTGAACTGTTTGACTATTACCCCTGCTTGACCTTTTGTTTTGTATCGGAGGTAATACAATTTTTGCTCTTGTGATAATTTTGGATGGTTTATGTACACGGCTGTAAACATGTCCCGGGAAGACGGTCATTGTTCATAACCACCATGAAAAATTTCAGTGTCACATGCGGGCACTTTAAGGTGAAAGCCTGATCTCGCCTCTTGGCTTTGAATTTGTGGCAGCTCTACTCTCGGTTGTGGAAGCAGCCGAGGGTTTAAAATTTTCCGGTAGGTCTGATTCGTCAGATTCTAGAATGGCATCATACGCAGCTTGGAGACGTGTCCAGAAATTGCTTAGATTTTCTTTTTTTTATTTCTAATACCGATTCAGAATTGTCTTTAATCGGTGAAGGTGAAAATCCAGTGCAGTATCGAATTAGACTGTCACTCTCAGCAATAAATTTGGTATATGAAATATCTTTAAGTTTTTTTTTGCTTTGTAGGACCTTGCTTTGAGCGTGTAGCATCAGCAGGTGTACATGGGCTCTTTTCTTCTGAAATCACTTTTTGTACTTTTAAATATTGTATTGATTTAGATTCCTTAGAATGTCCGTTCATTTAGATAATATGATAAAATTGAAAATATGAGAGAAAAGAAATTCTCTCAGTGTACTTCTGATAATAATAAGTACGCGTGAAATCTTTAAGATAAAAAGTTTTTAATTTTGTTGTATGTGTGTGTAATGTGTCAAATAACGAACGCGTATTTGGTTTTCCTTATACCGGTGCTTATGTATTTAGCTGCTAGTTTGTTGTTGTTTTTGTTTTTGTTTTTGTTTTTTATTTTATTTAATGTTTCGTACTCGTTAGTAAACAAAAAAGGTTGATGACCTTTGTATATGAGTTTGCACAATATGTGCGTGTTTATGTGCTAAGATGCTAAAAATTGTTTGCAATCCTGCTTGCATGTGCTTTAACAAGAACACGGGGTATTGCTGGACAGATGCCGATTTGGTCTTTGAATATAAGTATGYGTGTGTGAACACTTGAAACTTCCAATACGTATGTATGATCTTTCTTTCTACCAACTGTTAAAATTKTTTGTTTTATTTTGGCCGTAAATTTCTTTTTTTAATTAGCAAATTTTAAATTTTTTAATAAATTGAAATTTCGCTTTTACCGCTTTATTTTTTCARAATTTTGTAAAGTTTGTGAAATTTATACCCGATGTACGTTGTATATACCGGCATAGACAAACCGGCGGGAATAGAAAATCGATGAAGTAAAGGTATGCACTTTTTGTAAAATTTTAGTAATGCTGTTTATACATACATGTCGCATTAATTTTGTTTCTCACTTTGTTTCGGTATGTAATAGGTATGTACATATGAAAGTGGTGATTATTGGCATTTTTGTATTTTTGGTTTTGTTATTTTTCTTTTCTCTTTTTAAATTTCGTAATTGCCCTAGCTTACTTTTTGCGCAATCCTGCTTATACTGTTTTGAGTATAAGGGGTATTGCCGGAAAATTTTGTGAAGTGAATACTTGAAATTTTTTTTTATTTTTTTATTTTTAATGTTGTGTGTTTATTCCTTTTATCAGATATGTATATGCCAGTATATATGT